CATGATTTGGAAATGAAGTTGTAACAGTGCACCTGGGATGGATCCATTGGCCCCAAAGAGAAACAACATTCGTAATTTTTTCTCCAGTCGAGTATTCCAGGAAGAGATGTCTTAGTGCCTCATATTGTGTAGAGCACAAGGAGTTATAACTCAATTTCAAGCAAAGATAGGAGGAAGCCAGTGGGCTGATTTCCTGATTAAGTAGGCAAAGATGACATGTGGTTTCATTTGTCATTTTCAATTTTAAATGAACTGCATCACATGCACTAATTATGCATTGTCCTTCCTCTATTAGGTTCCTTTCAAATATGATGCTCTGTGACCTGAGTGTGTTTGTGGTCATTTGGGCAAAGCAGCACTTTTGTGAAATTGTAGCTTGAATCACTGGTAGCATTTGGATCACTGGTAGCACAGAGCTGATTTGATTACAGTGCTGACATCACTGTGCTGATGACCTAAGGCCTAGGTCGAGCCTTGTTGGTTTTGCTTTATTTATTGGCTGGGAAATCACCTCTCTGTTTGGTTCGTGCTTTTGTAATCTTGGGTCATCATTTGCATCATCTCGCCGCACTCCTGGTTTAAGAAAATACGGGTGTCTCTGTTGCACATTATGTCAAGTGCAGACCCCTCTACCTGATTTTTCAGGATTCTGCATTATGAATTTCCATTCATCCTGTCCAGTCTCATTTCCCACAATTCCATAGTTACCTTCCACTTTGTTTAGACTTCTTACTGTGTGACCTTGAGCAAGTTATTTACTTTCTGAACCTTGGCTTCCTCTCTATACAGTAGGGATCATATGACTAGCTCCTACATCAGAGGGGTTTTAATGAGAATTAGCTGAGATAGTATCTTTTAAAAATAATATTCTTCCATTATAGAAATGTTAATACAAGTACCAAGAACTATTCTAAACTTTTAAAATTTGTTGTCTCACTTCATCATAACAGTTTGATGAGGTAGGAGGAGCTGGTGGTAGTGGTAGTTGCACAGGTAGTGGTAATGATAATGTTGGTGCTTATTGAGCACTTACTATGTTCCAGGTACTTTACATGTTTCCAGTGAACTCTGTGAACAGTCTTACAAGGCCGATGCTATAATTGCCATTTCATAGATAGGAAATTTAAACATAATGAGATTAAGTAACTTGCCCAGATTCACATAGCCAAAGAATTCAGGAGCTGGATTTAGAATCCAGGCTATACTTTTAGATACTAATTTCATCCCATTTTTATTGTAGAAGGAAAACTTAGGGAGTAATTAACTTAACTAAAATTCTCACAGCACATAAATGGCCGAGCTAGAATATGAACCCAAGTCTTGATTTCAAAACTATGCTCTTTGTCATACTCCACTGCCTCCAGACTGCTGAAACAATGCTTTCTGTTGTGCTATTGTAGGTTGGATCGATTGTGATTTAATATATGTAACATCATTGTGTTTCTTTACTCAGGAAAGATGGCATATTGCCTGGATTAACTGTTACACAGGGAACCAGGCTTTTGGCCGCTGCTTGCCACCCTGACTCTGCCTGTTGAGTTGATGTAGGTGGTGAACACCCTTGGAGCACGGTGGATATTTGGCAGGATACTTGACCATGGCTGGAATTCCCAGTGGTGACATTAGTGTTAAGTGGCCCATTTCTGTTGATTCAGCAGGAGGACGTGGCTGCCCAGGATGTCAGTAGCTGATGGGAGGCAGATAGTAATGGGGAGAGGACATGGCTGTGTGATGGGACAACACTTTGATCCCAAGTCTGCTCTGAAATTGCCCACAGCTAGCTAAACCATGTTGGACTTAAGACATTTCTCAATTTCAATTTTAGGTTGTAGGCCCTAAATTCAAAAAGTGGACTACTACATCTTGACAGGAATTCTTTTACAGATATTTGATACCCAGAAAGGGGTGTGAGCGCAGACTGATGACAGCTTACTTTTCTTTTTCAGGAAGGATGCCAATTCTGCGCTTCTCAGTAACTACGAGGTAAATTGGACTGTTACATATTCCTCTCTGATAGTTTGCCCTTTGTAACTAAGATTGTTAAATTCATTTTGGTTAGAAATGACTGAATTCAGGCTGGGCGCATTGGCTCATGCCTGTAATCCCAGTACTTTGGGAGGCTGAGGCGAGTGTATCACTTGAAGTCAAGAGTTCAACACCAGGCTGGCCAACATGGTGAAACCTAGTCTCTACTAAAAATACAGAAATTAGCCAGGTGTGGTGGCACGTGCCTGTAGTCCCAGCTACTTGGTATCCCAGCTGAGGCAGGAGGATCACTTGAACCCAGGAGGCAGGGGTTGCAATGAGCCAAGATGTGCCACTGCACTCCAGCCTGGGCAATAGAGCAAGGCTCCATCTAAAGAAAAAGAAAAAAGTAATGGCTGAATTTATTTGGATTTTCCACTTTAAAACAAGACATATGGCACCATCTGGTGGACCTTGGAATAGTGTAAGCTTGATACATTATACATAGTACTTCAGGGAAGCTGGGAAGACTCTAATTTAGAGGTGGCAACCTTCTTTAAATCTCAAAGATTCTAGATCATCATTTGGGATGTAGTCATAGTATAGAAGCTATGTCTAATATCTAAAAGTATTTTAAGGCTGTTTCTGTCTGCAAAATTTCACATTACATTTTTTATGCTTTTTCCTAATTATCACCCTTGATATATTTATATATTTATAATGCTTTTATACATTGCAAATAGTCTTATGAGTATTAATATCCTTATTTTGAAAGTGAGTTTAGGCTGAGCACGGTGGTTCACGCCCATAATCCCAGCACTTTGGGAGGCCAAGGCAGGAGGATCACGAGGTCAGAAAATCAAGACCATCCTGGCCAACATGGTGAAACCCCGTCCCTACTTAAAAAAAATAAATAAATAAAAGTGAGTTTAGTTGACTCACCTTTCTGAATAGTAGAAATTAAGAAATGTAGAATTTTTGGGGCTTAGGGTGGGATTGCTGGAGAAAGGAAAAGAAGGAAAAAGGTTGGTAAGAGAGGAGATATTCCAGCATTTTTGCCTCCTATTTTGCACTAGCAAAACCATTTGATAGGCTAACTCTAGGTGTAGAAAGAACCATTTCTACCTTGATTGTGAATTTTCCATGTGCCAGAGTCTAAACTCAGGAAGACTCGGAGGTCTAGAAGGTAGTAGGTTAAATGCGGTGGCTCACGCCTGTAATCTCAGCACTTTGGAAGGCCAAGGAGAGAGGATTACTTGAGGCTATGAGTTAGAGATCAGCCTGGGAAACATAGCAAGACCCCCATCTTTTTTTTTTTTTCTTTTTTTTTTTGAGACGGAATCTCGCTCTGTCGCCCAGGCTGGGTGCAGTGGCCGGATCTCAGCTCACTGCAAGCTCCGCCTCCCAGGTTCATGCCATTCTCCTGCCTTAGCCTCCCAAGTAGCTGGGACTACAGGCGCCCGCCACCTCGCCCAGCTAGTTTTTTGTATTTTTTTAGTAGAGACGGGATTTCACCATGTTAGCCAGGATGGTCTCGATCTCCTGACCTCGTGATCCGCCTGTCTCAGCCTCCCAAAGTGCTGGGATTACAGGCTTGAGCCACTGCGCCCGGCCAAGACCCCCATCTCTTAAAAAAAAAAAAAAAATTAGCTGGGCGTGGTAGCAAACATCTACTATGGTCCTAGCTACTTGGAAGACAGAGGGGAGGTTCCCTTGAGCCCTGGAGTTTGAGGTTACAGTGATCACCACTGTACTCTAGCCTGGGAGACAGCCTTTGAGACCCTGTCCCCAGAAAAAGCTCCCAGAGTTGAAGACAGCAAAAAGAAAGAAAGAAACCTCCCCCTTGTGCCCCCCACCCCGCCCCACAAATTAGAAGGTAGTAGAATAAACACAGTTGGCCGTATTCTTTCCTCCCTGAAGGCTCAATCGTAAATAGTTGCAGCTTAGAACAGGAAGGAAATGGTTGAATGGTCATTGGCCAAGCCTTTGGCTTTTAGGAGCCTCCTTGTCCAGTTTGGACTTTGCTAGGTGTTTGGGTGTTTTATCCGTTGGGGAAACATTGCATTCATTGATATCATGTCGCTATTTCTGAAAGGAACAGCAGATGAGAGGGGTTCCATTGTATCTAGTAATAGTGTGTGAGCCTGCATTTTCTTCACTTCTCTGATAGAATCTCTAAAACAGGAATGAGATTGAGATTCCCTCCTGTCCCCAGCACTAATGCCTGTATGTTTTATCCTTGTGGGGAAAGTTTGCTTCTAAAGATCCATAGCATTTTTTCCTTTCTTTTTTTTTAGAGGGGTAAACTCTGTCTTATCACTTGCCTCAAAATTTTTATTTTCCAGAAAGAAATCATTATATTAGATTTTTATACTAGAGAAGCAGAATTCTTTTTTTTTTTTTTTTTTCCCAGATGGAGTCTCGCTGTGTCACCTAGGCTGGAGTGCAGTGGCACCATCCAGGCTCACTGCAACCTCTGCCTCCCGGGTTCAAGTGATTCTCCTGCCTCAGCCTCCCGAGTAGCTGGGATTACAAGCACGTGCCACCACATCCAGCTAATTTTTTGTATTTTTAGTAGAGACAGGGTTTCACCGTGTTAGCCAGGATGGTCTTGATCTCCTGACCTCGTGAACTGCCCGTCTTGGCCTCCCAAAGTGCTGGGATTACAGGCATGAGCCACCGTGCCCGGCCACATAATTCTTTTTTAACAAAATATTTGTTTTAAGAAAATCTGCTTTCAAATAGTTTATTTTTGAGATCAGAGGAGATTAGTGATGTATATATTGATAGGAAATATTTGAAATATTTTAAATAAATTAATGAATTTGGATTATTTGGCTTATATAAAAGAGCATTTTTTTTTTATGTCATCTGCCTCTGGGACTTATATTTGCTCAAATCCAAGAGTTGGAAGCTGGGTGATAGGTAGGTGAAAGGAAGTACTACACTTTCCTGTTTATCCTTCCAAACCACTGACCTTGGATAGATATATTTCTCAAATTTATTCATAGACATCTTTTTGTATCTCCTTCTAGGTGTTTCAGTTACTAACTGATCTGAAAGAACAGCGTAAAGAAAGTGGAAAGAATAAACACAGCTCTGGACAACAGAACTTGAACACCATCACCTATGAAGTAAGCCTGGGCTTTTGGCAGACCTACCTCAAGTACCACTGAGGGAGGGGGGTTTATTCTGCCGATGACTGGCTGCCGAAATCAAGATCGCTTTTTATATGATCTGAATAGTTTTACTCTAACCTGATTTTGTTTGTTTGTTTGTTTGTTTTTTGAGACGAAGTCTCCCTGTGTTGCCCAGGCTGGAGTGCAGTGGCACGATCTCCGCTCACTGTAAGCTCCACCTCCCGGGTTCACACCATTCTCCTGCCTCAGCCTCCCGAGTAGCTGGGATTACAGGCATGCAGCACCTTGCCCAGCTAATTTTGTATTTTCAGTAGAGACAGGGTTTCTCCATGTTGGTCAGGCTGGTATCGAACTCCTGACCTCAGGTGATCCGCCCACCTCGGGCTCCCAAAATGCTGGGATTACAGGCGTAAGCCACCGCACCCAGCCATTTTTCTCTTACATAAAAGTTGTAGAGACAGTGCTGGGAGTTTTCATGTACCCTTCCCATAGTTTTCTCTGATGTTAACATCTTACATAACCATGGTACAGTGATCAAAACCAAGAAATTAACAGTGGTACATACTGCTAAACTAAGCTAAAATTTTATTTGAATACCTTGTTTTCCCATTGCTGTCTTCTGGGTTCCAGGATTCAATTCAGGATACCATTTTGTATTTAGTTAACATGTCTCCATAATGTCATTCGATCTGTATCCTTACTCTTCCTTTGTCTTCCATGACCTTGACACTTCTAAAGGGCTTGTCAAGTATTTTGTAGAATGTCCCTCGATTTGTGATTGTCTGATGTTTTCTTATGATTACACAGAACCTATGGCTTTTGAGGAAGAGTACTACAGAGGTGATCTCCCCTTCTTGTGTCATGATTTCTCGGGGTACATGATGTCGATGTTTCTTATGGCTAATGTTGTTAACTTTGGTCATTTGGTTAAGATGGTATCTGCCCGGTTTCTCCACTGTAAAGCTACTGTTTCTTCATTTCCATATTATGTTAGAAAGGATTCACCAAGTTCAGCCCATATTCAAGGGGAAGGGGGAGATTAAGCTCCACCTCTTGAAGGGAGGGATGTCAAAGAATTTGTGGATGTATGTTAAAACCACCACAGTAATTAAAAAATATTTTGTGGGAGATGCTTTGAGGCTAGGAAAACAGCCTACCCTTCCTTAAGCTTTTAACCATCAATTTTAGCATTCATTGGTGGATCTTTCCTGCAGTAGTTATGACTATGGTACAATGCCTGAGAGTGATTTATAATTTTTCTCATTCTTTCTATGCTTATTAGATACAATTTTTTTTTTTATTTTAAGAGGCAAGATTTTACTGTGTTGTTCAGGCTGGTCTCAAACTCCTGGGCTCAAGTGATCTTCCCACCTTGGCCTCCCATAGTGCTGGGATTACAGGTGTGCACCACTGTACCCAGCTCATATGAGTTAGAATTCTTCCATAGGAAAAAGTTGTCTCTTCTGGCTGAGCATGGTGGCTCATGCCTGTAATCCCAGCACTTTGGGAGGCCTAGGCGGGCACATCACGAGGTCAGGAGATTGAGACCATCCTGGTTAACAGGGTGAAACCCCGTCTCTACTAAAAATACAAAACAATTAGCCAGGCGTGGTGGCAGGTGCCTGTAGTCCCAGCTACTGGGGAGGCTGAGGTAGGAGAATGGCGTGAACCCGGGAGGTGGAGCTTGCAGTGAGCGGAGATCACACCACTGTACTCCAGCCTGGGCAACAGAGCAAGACTCTGAGACTCTGTCTCAAAAAAAAAAAAGAATAAAAGTTGTCTCTTCCTACGCATTATTTTATTCACTCATATATATCCATGTGGACTCATGGCAATTTATTTTATTCTTTGGGTTCCCCCTCTTTAAAAAAATTGTTCAAAATATGATAGCACAATTGTCAGATTGAGGTTTTTTTTTTGAAATCAGAAAAATTTTCTCCTAAATTTCATTAATTATTCTTCCTGTTCTAGCTACTGATTTTCTCTTTCAGGAATTCCAATTACATGAAGATTGGTTCTGAATGCCTCTTTGTTTTATATAGGATTTTCTTTTCTTTTCTTTCCTTTTTTTTTTTGAGACAGAGTCTCAGACTCTGTCGCCCAGGCTGGAGTGCTATGGTGCAATCTCGGCTCACCACAACCTCTGCCTTCCGGGTTCAAGTGTTTCTCCTGCCTCAGCCTCCCTAGTAGCTGGGATTACAGGCATGCACCACCACACCCAGCTAAGTTTTTGTATTTTTGGTAGAGATGGGGTTTCACCATGGTGGCCAGGCTGGTCTCGAACTTCTGACTTCAGGTGATTTGGCCACCTCGGCCTCCCAAAGTGCTGGGATTACAGGTGTGAGCCACCGTGCCCAGCCTCTATAGGATTTTTAAAAACAAAATTTTAGCATTTTAATTACAGCCATTTCCTTCATTTTTTCTCATTCAGGGCTGTCTTATGCTTGGCTTTTTTCTTTTTTTCCAGACGTTAAAATACATATCAAAAACACCATGCAGGCACCAGAGTCCTGAGATTGTCAGAGAATTTCTCACAGCAATGAAAAGCCACAAGTTGACCAAGTAAGTAAATCTCTTAAGTAGGAAGAGAGTGACACATGGTGAAATGAGGGCTGAGGAAAGCCATTCGAAGCTACGGTGTATTCATACTCAGCTGGGTTTGAATTTAAAGGAGGATTAGAGTATTGTAGATGAAACAACTGAAAGTTAGACATAGGGACTAGAGTAAGGAACAAATCTTTTTTTTTTTTTATCAATGAAGAAAGTTCATTTCTCCTAGTGATACTGTATTAGTGTGCCTGCTTATTCGGCAAAATTAGCAGAGATTAATTTACATTCTCAAAAAAGACGGGTGAGGGGAAATGGAAATGCCTCATGGAAAAGAAGGCAAATTTAGGTCATGGGTACAGATCTCAATCAAATGGGCCAAAATCTGCTAACTCCCAACTGCTAGCATCTGACCACAGCATGACAAGATTGGAATCGGGGAACCTGGGCTCTAGTCCAGTTTCTGCCCCTTACTAGCACCATGACCTTGGAAAAGGTATTTGACCTCTCTGAGTTTCATTATCCTCACCACTGAGATGAGGATCATCTGCTAAACTCACAAGGCTGGGGCAAGGGTGAAGGGTGGTGTCTTCATGGAAACAATATGTGTAGATGTCCTTTTTGGACTCCAGAAGCCATAAATGATGCAACCTTATTTATTAATCATTACTGTGAACAGGGCCAAACATTTCTATATTATTAACACTGCCTCTACCCTAACGATTCAATTCAGATAAACTTTACAGAGCACTTCACTCCAAGAGCTGAGGATCAGGGCCACTTGGTTCTTACCTACACAGTGCCTCCAAGCCAAAATTGGTAGAACCAATAGTTCTACTCTTAAAGCAGGACCCCTCTAGCCTTCCATTATCTGGATGAAAATGAGCTTACTAATTTAGAAACACAAGTGAGTGTATTCTAGGCTAACGAAATTAATTCTTCTCTAATTATTGAGAACATTAAATGTCACGAGCTGATCTCAAAATGTTAGTAAAATAAGTTAAATTGTTTTGAAAGGAAAGAAATGTGATAATGTGGTAGAAATGGGGAAAAAACAAGACAGAATTGAAGTATTATATTAATCAAGTAGTAACTCTGGTTTGACTGAGTAAATGCAGGAGAAGACCTTCCTTCTTTCCTTCCTTATTTATTTATTTATTTATTTATTTTTATTAACTTTAAGTTCTAGGGTACATGTGCACAGCGTGCAGGTTTGTTACATATGTGGACATGTGCCATGAGGAACAAATCTTAATGGGGTGTAAAAATCTTTTCTTGGCCGAGCGCGGTGGCTCATGCCTGTAATCCCAGCACTTTGGGAGGCCGAGGCGGGCAGATCACCTGAAGTCAGGAGTTCGAGACCAGCCTGACCAGCATGGAGAAACCCCGTCTCTACTAAAAATACAAAATTAGCTGGGCATGGTGGCACATGCCTGTAATCCAAGCTACTAGGGAGGCTGAAGCAGGAGAATTGCTTGAACCTGGGAGGTGGAGGTTGTGGTGAGCCAGTGAGCTGGCAGTGAGCCAAGATCACGCCATTGCACTCTAGCTTGGGCAACAAGAGCAAAATTCCGTCTCAAAAAATAAATAAATAAATAATCTTTTCTTGGAGTCCCAGTTTGTATGACCTATCGCATTACCCCTACTCCCAGAATTCAGACCAAATTGAATAAAAAGTAGGGTTTACAAGTTAAAGTATTTTTTATAAAGTTGATCAATGAAGTCCTTTGATGTTTGTGTTTGCTTGAGGCAAAAGTGGCTTGATCGTATTCTGTGAGTTCTTGTAGTGTCCAGTTCTTTTTCTTGGTCTGGAATGAGTTCAATCTATTAAAATCGAAAACGTCATAGACCAAGGGTTTACATGAGAAGAAAACTAGCCCAGTTTTTTTTGTTTTGGTTTGTCTGTTTTTTTGAGATGGAGTTTCGCTCTTGTGAGTTCATGCTGGAGTGCAATGGCGCGATCTCAGCTCACCACAACCTCCACCTTCAGGTTCAAGTGATTCCTCCTGCCTCAGCCTCCACAGTAGCTGGGATTACAGGCATGCACTACCACGCTTGGCTAATTTTGTATTTTTAGTGGAGACGTGGTTTCTCCATGTTGGTCAGACTTTTCTCAAACTCCCAGCCTCAGATGATCCGTCCACCTCGACCTCTCAAAGTGCTGGGATTACAGGCATGAGCCACCGTGCCTGGCCAATTTTGTGTTTTTATTTATTTTATTTTTATTTTTATTTTTTTTTTGAGATGGAGTCTCGCTGTCGCCCAGGCTGGAGTGCTGTGGCGGGATCTCGGCTCACTGCAAGCTCTGCCTCGTGGGTTCACGCCATTCTCCTGCCTCAGCCTCCCGAGTAGCTGGGACCACAGGTGCCCACCACCAAGCCTGGCTAATTTTTTGTATTTTTAGTGGAGACGGGGTTTCACCATGTTAGCCAGGATGGTCTCGATCTCCTGACCTTGTGATCTGCCCGCCTTGGCCTCCCAAAGTGCTGGGGTTACAGACGTGAGCCACTGCCCCTGGGCCCAATTTTGTATTTTTAGTAGAGATGGGGTTTCACTGTATTGGCCAGGCTGGTCTTGAACTCCTGACCTCAGGTGATCCTCCTGCTTCAGCCACCCAAAGTGCTAGCATTTCAGGCGTAAGCTACCGTGCCTGGCCTATGTATACATTTTTGAATTGACTTGTTGATACCTGGAACAAATCCTGCTGAGATTCTGATTGGGATTGTGTTACATCTATAGGTCAGTTTTGGGGGAGAATTGACATTTTGACAATATTAATAATTTAAGATCGGCCAGGCACAGTGTCTCACGCCTGTAATCCCAGCACTTTGGGAAGCCAGGGCAGGTGGATCACAAGGTCAAGAGATCAAGACCATCCTGGCCAACATGGTGAAACCCTGTCTCTACTAAAAATACAAAAACTTAGCCAGGAGTGGTGGTGGGGGCACCTGTAGTCCCAGCTACTCGGGTGTCTGAGGCGGGAGAATCACTTGAACCCGAGAGATGGAGGTTGCAGTGAGCTGAGATCGCACCACTGCACTCCAGCCTGGTAACACAGCGAGACTCTGTCTCAAAAAAAACAAAAAAACAAAAAAAAACCTCATAATAATAATTTAAGATCAGTCAAAGGTTAAAAAAAACAACCCACCAATACTGAACCTAGTCCATGAAAACAGTGTAGCATACAGGTTCTGCACAAATTTTTTTAGATTTATACCTATTTCATAATTTTGCATGCTATTGTAAATGGTGTTCATTTCCAGTCGTTGATTGCCGATATAGAAATACAGCTGACTTTATATTGATCTTATGCCCTCAAGGCTTGAAAAATCCACTTATTAGTTCCAGGAACTTTTTTAGTGTATTCTTTAGGATTTTCTATGCAGACAGTCATGGTGTTTGCAAACAGAGTTTTACTTCTTTCTTATCTGTATGCCTTTTCCTTCTTTTTCTTATTTCATTGCCCCAGCTCGGGCCTCCAGGACGATGTTGAGTAGGAATGGTGAGAGCAGACATCCTCAGCTTGTCCCTGATATTAAGGGAATACAGTCCGGCCTTCACCATTAAGTATGATGCTAGTTTAGGTTTTCGATGGATGTCTTTTACCAGGTTTAGGAAGTTCAAATTGCTGAGATTGGATGTTGAATGTTGTCACTTGCTTTTTCTGTATCTATAAAGCTAAAAAGATTTGTAGCCTTTTGGCTGTATCTTTTTGTTTATTTTTTAGTAGTTACTGTAGGGATCCCTACTGGGTTACTAGTAGGGTTAATAATATGCATGCCTGACCATTTATAGTCCAGAGTTAATGTTTTACCAATTAGTGTATATAGGTCTCTTTACCTTCTTTTTGTGTTATGGTTATATTTATAACATAGAAACTACATACATTGAAACATATAATCTACATACTATTAGTGGTGTTTTAACATTTCTTTTTTTTACTTTTTATTATTATTATTATTATACTTTAAGTTCTAGGGTACATTTACTTTCTATATTCTTACATACTTTAAAGAACTTAAGAGAACAAAAATGTCTTTTATGTCTACCCAAAATGTCATCATTTCTTTTGCTCTCTATTTCTGAAGTGCCCTGTGTCCTTTTTATCATTTACTTCACCAGGAAGAACTTCCTTTGGCACTTTTCTGAGAACAGGTCTGCTGGCTACAAATTCTCTTATTTTCATTTAGCTGAGAATGTCATTATTTTCTTTCATTCCTGAAGGATAATTTCCCTGGATTGATTGATCTTTTCCTTCAGAACTTTAAAGATGTCATTTCAGTGACTTCTGGCTGTCACAGTTTTTGGTTAGAAATCTGTGATCAGGCTAGATGCAGTGGATCACGCCTGTAATCTCAGCACTTTGGGAGGCTCAGACAGGAAGATCACTGGAGGCCAGGAGTTTGAGACCAGCCTGGGCATCATTGTGAGACTCCATCTCTATATTTTGAAAAATAATTAATTAAAAAAATTTTTTTAATCTGCTATCACCCTAACCCTAATGTGTCATTTTCCTCTGGCTGCTTTTAAGATTTTTTTTTTTGATGCCCTCTGTACTCTCACTGCTTCACTTCACTAGCCTACTAGCACAGTGAAACCCCGTCTCTACGAAAAAAATACAAAAAAAGAAATCAGCCGGGCGTGGTGCTGGGTGCCTGTAGTCCCAGCTACTCGGGAGGCTGAAGCAGGAGAATGGCGTGAACCTGGGAGGCGGAGCTTGCAGTGAGCTGAGATCGCGCCACTGCACTCCAGCCTGGATGACAGAGTGAGACTCCATCTCAAAAAAAAAAAAAATTAAAATTAAATTTAAAAAAGATTCTTTAAGTCTTTGGTCTTCAGTAATTTGATAATGATATGTTTCAGCTTTTTTCCCCAGTTTGTCTTTGCTGAGTTTCTTGATTATGTAGATTTATGTTTCTTACTACATTTGTGAAGTTTTCACCTATTTTTGAAATATTTTTTCTATCCCAATCTCTTTCTCCTCCTTTTCTTCAACTCCCAAAAATACAACTGGT